TGTTAAAACAGCAACAGCAAAATTGCTTCAATAATAATATACTGTCAGTAAAATAGTAAATGAGTGGCCCCAACATGATAAATTACCTATCTTCTTCTTGTGCATCTCATAAAGATCAATTAATCTCCATAACCAGCGAAAGGGGACATCTAATTTTCATTGTATTTAAGGGTCATGAAAATTATAGGAGGTTGTAATTAAAGTGGATAGAAATATTTACCATTTCATATAAGATCATGTATTCAACTCTTCCCTCTCTCCGTATTCCTTGTATTAAAAAAAAAAAATAGATAATAAAAAATTAAGATAAAAAAATAGATAATAATTTTTTTTTTATATAATACAAGTGATAGTTTAAATTACAAGGAATGAGGTTTCTCACACACATACACTCCTAATTGTCATGGGTTTAAATATGAGACCACTAATTTTCAAGTCAAGGTAATTTTATATTGGATTAGACCCCGTTGAAAATAAATGGCATTTTAGTATATCTACCACTAACTAATTTATGTAATGATGATTAGTATTTAAATTTCATCTTGGCCTCGATTCCTCGAAGCACCGTGGGGGGTGGGAGTAGTTATACGAAACAGTGCAGGAAATTTTGTGGCTGGGAGGGCAAAGCCATACGCATATATGTCATCGGCGGGCCATGCTGAAGCTTTGGCGGCTTGGGAAGGACTTTGTTTTGCAAGTCTCATACACGAGGCAGGAATTGTGCTTGAAGGAGAATCGTCGGCTGTTGTAAACGCCGTTACCTCGCATAATGAGGATTGTTGAAGATGCTCGTGTTGTGTTGCAGGGGTTTACGGAGGCTAGGTGCCAGTACGGTATGCGTCTTGGGTTAGCAACGGAGTTACACATCGGCTTGCTTGTTTTGCCGTAATTCTAAATGATAATTTTGAGTGATTTGAGGCGCTCTTGATTTTATTCAAAACGTCTTTAAAAAGAATGCTATACATTGGGATCTATTTTTTTTCCCCTCGAAAATATTATAATGTGACACGAAAATTGTCTATCGTGTGGAAGAAAAAGAACCGAAATAAGTAAATTTGATTTGGTGGATATGAATTCAATTAATTTTAATAATACTTTGTAATATTAGGTAATTGTCTAACTAATTATGCATGAAGAGAATAGGGCAATTATAGTATCTTCGAATTGTGGCATTCTAATAATAGTATATGAGGAAAGGGTATCAATTTCCTAAAAAATGTATAAAATTTCACCCAGTGTTATGTTTTCTGGAAATAATTTATTTTAATACGGCCTTCCTTTATTCTGTTTTCTTTTAGACGAAATTCCCATTGTCATATTTTATTTTATGGTATGATTGTTCACATAATGTCACATGCTTTTTTTTAATTTGTAATCATCGTATTCACATACTATAACGGATTACTCGAATAAATAAACACATAGAATAAAAAATTTAAATATAGATAAATAGTTCAATTAAAACAACAAATGTATAATGATATGGCATGACGATTTTATTTATTTATTTATTATTTTTTTTTTTTTTTTGGGGGTGAAGATAAAAAATCTTCTCATTGCGTGCATGTGGTGGCGTTTTACGTGACCTTAGAGAGTGTGCAAGAGAATATAAAGTGAAAGAGAATAGAGGGGCATTTTAGTTTGAAATAAGAAAAAAGGAAATGGAGAGACATAAGGAAAAGGGCAGAAAAAAAGCACAAAAATCCACGTGTTTTTGTAGAGGAATGGTGTTTAGGTAATTTCACGACAGCCATTTTCTTTTTCCGCATTCCCCATTTCGAAAGAATAAAAAAGGCAAAATGATAACAAACAGCGAAACGAGGAAAGAAAACCAGGAGAGGAACAGCAAAGGCAGAGAGAAAGAGGAGAGAAGAAAGAAAGTGATCAAACAAATCCAAAAACACCAAAACATGGAGAAGAAGACCCAACAACTACAACACTAACAATCACAATCCCCTCCAACCCCAATCCCTCAAGGAGGTGGTAGAAGAAGGAGAGAGAAAACAGAGCCCCCCATCACAGGCCCTTCTTCAATCTTCATCTCTACCTACCATCTCCTTTTTTTTTCTTTTTTTTTTCTTTCTCGTTTTCTTTTTCCCATGCGGCGAGGAGGCAGAGCCACCGCAGCAGCAGCAGCAGCAGCAGCCGCAGGAGGAGCAGGAGCCCAATTATGCAATCCCAAACCCAAGCCCACGGCGGGCCAAGAAATCCGATTCCGCGGCGTACGGAAGCGGCCGTGGGGTAGATTCGCAGCCGAGATCAGAGACCCCTGGAAAAAGACTCGGGTCTGGCTCGGAACTTTCGACTCGGCGGAGGACGCGGCTCGAGCCTACGATGCCGCAGCCCGATCCCTCCGCGGGCCCAAGGCCAAGACCAACTTCCCTCCCCCCACCTCCGCCGCGGATTACGACATCAACAAAAACCACCGCCTCCATCCTCATCATCCTTCTCTCTACGACGACGACACGGTTTGCGATGTCGTTCAGGCAAGCAGGCCCACCTCCAGCAGTCTCAGCAGCACCGTCGAGTCTTTCAGTGGGCCCCGCCCCCAGCCCAGGCCCACCTCCGATGCTCAGCTGCAGCGGAGACCCGTGCACCCTGTCCCACCCGAGGACTGCCACAGCGACTGCGACTCCTCATCCTCCGTCGTTGACGACTGCGATGATTGCGTCCTGACGTCGTCGTTTCGGAGAGTCTCGCCTTTGCCGTTCGATCTCAACCTGCCGCCGCCCCCGATGATGGACGGCCTCGATTTATTCAAATCCGGTGAGGTTTGTGGTGATGATCATGATCTTCAAGCCACCGCTTTGTGCCTCTAATTACCGTATGGATCTCCATAATGGTCCTCCCCCTTTTTCCTTTCTTCTTTCGTTTTTTTTTGGTCCGCCCTTATTTTCTCGGGAAAATCATTAAAAAAAAAAGGAATAGGAAATCTGGTACTTGGTGATTGAGAAGAAGAATTTGAGGTTTTTTTTTTCCTTCTTGTTTTGTTTTAATTCTACGTTGTTAGAATATTATGGTGTAGAAATAGCATCTGGGTTTTCTTCTTCCACTGTGATGGGTTTTGGAGGAATATTCTGTGTATTGTTGAAGCTAATATTAGATCTTGTTTACCCAGCACTAGATCAAGATCTGATCTGGGTTTTTGCCCTCTTCATCAGATTCTCAATACCCATCTTTGTTTTTTTGTTTTCCCTTTTGTGTACAGAACATTATCTGAATTTAGAAAAGCGCTCTATTTTTATTCAAAGGAAAGCTTTCCATTTTGTTATTAGTCAGAAGTTTGTTTGGTGAGAGGGAAGGGGGCAATGCATGTTGATAGGGTTCTTGATAAGAACCATTTATTAGCTGCACATGTGATGTTATGCAGATTCTATTGAGTATCAAATATCAATATGTCCCCAAACCCCAAGGACCCCTCCTGCAGACAGAGGGCACCCTTCCCTAAGCTACCTTACAGGATAATACTGAGAGAGAAGCTTGCCCTTCAAATCACATGCCCTTTCTTTTTTCTTTTCAGTCACCTCCTCTCCTCCACAAGCGAAATGAAAGAAAGACCAAAAAAAAAGGAAAAAGAAAATGTTTATATTTTGGAACATCTCTTTTGTTGTTCAACTTAACTTGTGTTCATCTTTGGATTCTTTTTATTTTATTTTAAAATTGTGTACTTTGATTCTATTTGGTGGGTGTTAGCTAGTAGTTGTTGGAGAAGAGGTGGCTATTGGTCTCTTATCATGTCTTGTGTTTCAGATGTTCCCCTCTCTCTCTCTCTTTGCAAGAAGGCTTGCCCAGTGGGGAATTCCTAGCTTTGTGTTGAGCATGATCATTATTTCTAGTGTGCGAAGAAGACTTCATGATTTTGTTCCTATAGGAACTATTTATAATCATTTTCTTTTCTTTCCTTTTTCTTTTGCTTCTTCTTTTTCAAGTAACACAAATAAATTTGTCGGGTAAACTCGAGATCCATGCAATTACTCACAAACCACACAAACAAGTTACGTTCGAACAATAGTTTTGTCATAGTAAAGATTGAGCTTTGCGAAATAGAAACTTGGGTTTATCTTGGAGATGAGCCATCACTTTGTTTTTTAGGTGTTCGTCGAAATGAGTGGTGGTGTGAAGAAGCACTGACCGCTAAAGCCGTCATTTATATTCATTTCAAAACTCGTCGTTTTATGACTGTTGATATTCTTAGGCTGAATCATATTTTTGGTGGCCGTGGCCTAACTTGCTTTATTTTTCATTTTGGTCTCCATCATTTTGATTTTGAAAATTGAGTTTGGTTTGTATTTCTAACAACCTTACATTTGCAGAGCTTGATTGCTACCTAAATAAGACTAATATAACTGAAAATGACCAACTGCGGGAATTCAAATTGTAATTCAGCAACTTTGTATACACTTTTTTTATTATTTTCCCTTAGATTATAATTACAATTTTCTTTCATATGTCTATTTGCTTTGTGTATGGTTAAAAGGAACAAGAAGAAAAGAAAATCCTCTTTTTTATTTTTTATTTTTTAAAATAAAATCTTAATTACCATAAATCGATTGGAAGGCAGAGGATTAGGACACCTGTTTCTTTCTTTATCTTCCATTTTTTGAAGGGAAAAAAAACCAAATAGAGGTATTATGAAAATCTATTTTTGTCATTTATTATGAAAATATGTTGTGTAATAATACTACGTACACCAACTTATTATACTAATTTTTGAACAACAACTGATTGCGACAGTTATTCATTTGTTTTCATTCTAAACCTACTACGAATCTTTTTTTCTTCTTCTTTATAAATAAGAAATTGTCGCATTATTTCTTCTTCTTTATAAATAAGAAATTGTCGCATTAGTTAGTGTCTATGATATTTTTGGTAAAATTTTATAGTACTCTATAGAATTGGGTAGGTTAAGCAAAACAGATTGGGCCCAATCCAGATCTCAAATCTTAATGAAATTTCCAGCCCAATTTGGCCTATTGCCTTTTTATGTATTTGGCAAGTTATGTTATGGACTCCCTGACTGTTTAAAGAGTGATGAATTCTCTGAGAGCACATCTGATCTTGATTCTCGACCAATAATAAACTACCCAAAGAGGTGAAAAAAAACAAGGAAGAAGAAAGGGAAAGGTTGAAGCCCTGCCTTCTTTTTACCCTCCCAGAAATACCGTGTTGGTTTTCCCTTAGAATGCACCATGCAGCGACTTAGAGGCGCAGGGACCGTAATTTCGCGCTCTCTACCCGTGACCCAGTTAAGGAAGAAAGCTTTCAGATCATGGGCAGCTGTTCAGGACACTTATTTTTCAACTAAGGTACTTGCTTTATCTAATTTTTGGGTTTTTCTTTGAGTTTGAGCTAATGGGTACCAATTGCTTTTCATGGAGTTTTGTTTGATTTTGGTGCAGTTTTGTTGGGGTTTCTAAATGCTTTGGTTCTTCTTTTTTTGCTGAATGTTTTAGGATATATTTGAAACGCATAAGGTTGTATTTACAGTTGGAACTTCCATAGCTTCAGTCGCCACAGCATGGTTTGGTGAGTTTCTTTGTGAATTTTTGTTCTGCCACTTTTTAATTCTCAATTTTGTTTTGCTTTTCTGCATGTATATTTGTTTATGATCATCAATTGATAAAGGGTGTTTATGATCATCAAATTGATGAAGGGCGTGAGTTAAAGATTTGTATTTTGAGTTTAGCTAGCTATATGGTAAAAAGAGTGACATTTTGGCACTCAACTTCAATCGCGATTTGCAATTTTGGCGGACGGTGCGTTGTAATTTGTTTGAAACCATCCTTAATTCAAATTAAGGAAAGTTTTTGTAACCTACAATTTTCTCACTGCACTTCACCTTATTTCAATAAGTGTAAGGTATAATGAGCAAATTGTAAGTGTACATATACAAATTCCCTTAAACTAGCCTTCACATAAAAGGGCAATTGGGTTTTTGCAAGCCTTAGGAGTGTGACTTCAGTTGGATGAACTAGAATTCAACCTGAGCTTTGGGTCAATCAAACGTATTTGATAAGTTTACCGAACACGTGTATGAAGTCTTAATCCGAATTACAAGTTGGGTGAACATGGACAAAATGATTCCAGTATGTTATAACATGTAAATCTCAGATATACAATATTTTCTAGTCATAGGTGAGTTCTAGTGCTAGATTTGCAGAGTGCCAAACTTATGAAGTTATGATATAATCAATTATCAATCATTTCTGGATATGGATGAACTATATAGGCATCTTCAAGAAAATATAATATGGTTTATGTTGTTCTTTGACTAACTTATTTATCTATGATTGAAAGATTCGTTATAATTTAAAAAATTTGGTCTGCTAATGCATTGAGGTGCAAAAGTTTTCCTTCAACCTTATTACTATTGTCTCTCTCGATAACATGTTAGAAAAGAATGTCTTATCCAATACACATCTGTTATGGGTGCAGGATATACTATACGTCATGTACATGAATCAAGAGTTGATCAAAGGCTCGAATCAATCGAAAAAGCTGTAAGCACAATATTGAAAACTGTTGACATTTCACTTAGTATATTGCTAAACTCTTTACAAAAACACTGTTGGGTTTTGAAGTCGCCCTGAAAGGACAATAATTTTTTTTTTCTTCCTGTTAGTTCTATTATCCATGTCTTGTATTCTTGTTTTCATCCCATTTATGTTGTTAATATTTTTTTGGTAGGATAAGGCATTATGTGAGCCAGATCTCATTCTTAATTTTTCTAGTTAGATTTTGGTTATGCTTACATTTGGATGTTTGTTTATGTTTTGGTAGCAGATGAAAAACAATCATAATCTGGAACATTCAGAAATTAGAAACATTGTTAATTCTGGAAGTATTGGTGTTCCTTCATGCATAGCCACTGCCGGAACCACTTTGGTTGTCGGGTTTGTTACTAAATCTTAATTTCCTTGTCTGAAATATAATTGCCTCTCCAAATGAAACTAGAAATATTGAACTATTCAGGCTTTTTACACGTCCACCTTTTTAACTGAATTGCAGTTACGCTTTGGGTTGGCGAGGTGGAAGGTGGTATGCAAATAGGAAGTTCAGAAGGGAGCAGATGAAATTGCTAGGGCAAATTAAACCTAAAAGGTGGCAATTGCTCAGGAGATCATTGATCAGACCAAGAACTCAAGACAATGTAGTCAAAACTTTGGAGAAGATAAAGGACACTCATACCCCACCTAATTTTGGAGAATCGCACCAATCTTGTTAGCAAGCATAAATCATGACAGATTTTTGTTTGCTGAGAAAGCCTGATGGAAAAAGATTGTTGATAGAGCTTTATACTTGTTAACGGTTTGATTTTTTTTGCTGGTATTTATTGAAACGTAAGATAAATGATGAGAATCATCTAAAGGAATTAGATTCAGCATTGCCTTTCTTGTTGTGAATCAAGATATGTGTAAATGAATCTGCTTTGTACTCGCTAACCGCTTGAAATAGACCAGTTGATGAATTTTTTTCCTTCTGGTTTCATTTGATTCCTGAGCGCAATCTGTGTGAGAGATGAGATACACTTGCTTAAAGTACCTCGTTTATGCAGAAAATGGTTGACTGGGAAATGAAAGCATCGGAAGTTTTTAACTCTGAATGGCCACAGAGGAGGAAAGTGTTTGAGCTCTTATTAGTTTGATAGTTTCTCTCAACCAAAGAAAGTGTCGGGTGTTTTAAGAAGTTTGGCTTTGTTTTTTTCTCCTTTGTGGCATGGTTTTGTCATTAGAGCCTTGTAAAAGGCCAAAAGAGAGAAATATTTTGAAAAGAAGCCAAAATGGACAAAAATGCCCTTATTTATTTTTGGATTTCTGAAGGAATCTCATACATTTGCATGTCTTTGGTTTGAAGGTTGAGGGATTTTTCTGTATTTTTTGAATTTTTTTTGGTTTTTTTCAAAAGTGAGTTTTGTGTGTGTTTAAAACCTAAATTTACTTTGTTATTATGCGCTCTCTCTCTCTGGTCAGATTATAATGTGCTAATAATGAAATCTACATGAATGTAAGAACTCTATTTTTTCGTCATGTGTGAAATGAGGCAATGGGGTTTTAGCTTTCTATGCCTCCATTGGCAGTACGTCTTAATCTCTAACTAATTAGACAAAACAAACAGTAACAACGTATGAGTCTCTGGACATGAACATGTTTTGGCTTACACTCTTGGACTAGGTTTGAACTAATAGATGAAATTCTTTTTAAAATATGGAATCGTGGCAGCGACGAAATCCTAGGTTGATGTAGTTTTTAATTGTTTTAAATTTGGAAGGGGGTAGGTCCCGCGAAGATGCCTTTGATTAACTGTATAGTTTAAACCACTAAGGCAATCTATTGACGAAAGGAGGTGTATGAGCTCATGTGAACGCCCCAATTCTGTTTTTATCTGGTTTTTCTGTACCTATAAAACATATGTCAGAGCCATAAAGGTGATTCTACCAGAAAACAATTAATTAAACACATGATGAAGATGATGGCTAATAACATTTTAGCCTCTAGTATTCTAGTCATTCTTCTGTTCTGTGAGTCAGCAGTTGGAGCAAGAACAAAGCTACTCTCAGCCAATAATGGTCAGGATGCTTCTTCTGCATTGGCTCCATCTGCCAATGATGGCATCTGTGCAACAATGGTGGAAACTCATGGCTATGCTTGTGAAGAACACACAGTTATGTGTCTGCCTTTGTTGCTGCTCAGTTTATCAAGAGCTATTCACAGTAAATATTGACTGAAATTTGCATTTTTGGGTTCTATAGGTAACAACACAAGATGGCTATATACTCAGTATGCAGAGAATTCCAGTTAGAAAGTCAGGGGAGGCATCCGGAAACCGGATACCGGTACTTCTACAACACGGGCTGCTGATGGTCAGTAATTCTGCGCCGGTAACTTTTGAATCTTCAATAGGTTCAGTAAATTGGTTAGATGTAACAGTTTTGTTTATATGGTGTGGTGGGCAGGATGGGATAACATGGCTGCTACTACCTCCTGACCAATCTTTGGCATTCCTCTTGGCTGATAATGGGTATGAGGTCTGGCTTGGCAACACTCGCGGCACCAAATATAGCCTCGGCCATACATCACTCAGTCCCGATGATCCGGTAACTACATGCCATTCTGTTCTTGGTTACTTGTGAAAACATGAAAATGCTCAATAACACAAACACCATATTGTTTTTCATATTAGATGCCATTTTGCTCTTTTTTCAGGCTTATTGGGAATGGTCATGGGATGAATTGGTCGCTTATGATCTTCCAGCTACATTCCAGTACGTGCATGATCAAACAGGACAGAAAATTCACTATGTTGGACATTCACTGGTGAATTCCACAAACTCTGCAGTTTTGTTCTGTTTCTGCTCTGGGACTTCTTTTTCTTCTAAGGATATTAATGGAATTATTATTATTATTTTTTTGTAGGGAACTTTGGTAGCTCTTGGTGCTTTTTGCAAAGACCAGCAACTGAATAGATTGAGATCAGCTGTCTTACTTAGCCCGATTGCTTATGTTGGTCAGATACCTTCACCCCTTGCAAGAGCTGCTGCTGAAAACTTTATTGCTGAGGTAAGAGCAAATCCCTTTTTCTAGTTATTTTAGTTGTCCAAAAGAAATCAACTCTTTGACAACCTATTACCTTCTTCTAACAGGCATTATACAAGGCAGATATCAGAGAGTTTAATCCGAATGGGTAACAATGCTTGTTCACTTGTTCTTTACGATTCTCAAACCACTGTTTACCAAGTACAGCAGTATAATATTTTATCTTGTACTTTAAGAAACTAACGATTTCTCCAAATGCTTCTAACTTTTCGATGTTAAATGGCTGAAAAGTTTTCCAAAGGACTTGAGAGTTCTGATTCAAATTTATTTGCATTATACAAATTGACATGTGTTTTTCCAATGTCTCCAAGAGAAGCCTAGTTACAGACATGATATTCATTCCTATTAATTTGATGAACTATAATCTGGTCTGTTTATGTTTCCCCATTCGAACAGGAAGGCACTAGTCGAAGTTCTTAAGGCTGTCTGCAGTAAACCAGGTGTTGACTGCACTCACTTGTTGACCGCTTTCACAGGTAGCACAGATGTCCCTAACATTGTTACGAGCACTTAAACATTCTTCTATTGACTATTTTTTTTTTTTGGCAACTGAAGGCAAGAATTGCTGCTTAAACTCTTCCATAGTAGATGTTTTTCTGGACCATGAGCCTCAGTCAACCTCAACAAAAAACATGGTCCATATATCTCAGAGTAAGTCCTCTTAATTTCTGATTCACAAACACCATGGAAAAATCTTCAAATTATAAAAGCAAATGTTTTTTATGTGTGCTCAAAATAAGATTAAAAATAAAATTCAATCCTGTGATTTGTGTACAGTGATAAGAGATGGAACAGTTGCAATGTATGACTATAATAACAAGAATGAGAACATGCAACACTATGGGCAGCCCAATCCTCCAGTGTACAGCATGACAAGCATCCCAAATGACCTTCCTCTCTTCCTCAGTTATGGAGGGGCAGATGCTCTTTCTGATGTCAAAGATGTGAAGCTGTTGCTGGCCAGCCTCAACGATCATGATGGAGATAAGCTTGTGGTTCAGTACAGAGATGATTATGCTCATGCAGATTTTGTCATGGGTCAAACTGCTAAGCACGATGTGTATGATCCTCTCATGGCCTTCTTAAAACTCCAATGAGAATATTTACTTGTCAAAAAGTAATGCCAATAATCTTCTCTTCTTCTCCCTCATCAGAGTTGTATTTTGCTCATACTGTATACTTTTTCCTTCTTTACCAGCAAAAGTCATAGAAAATGTCAGGATAGATTCTATTGGTTGTAAGTTTGAAGCAAAATTACCACCATATTTATTGCAGTTCATTTATACTTTTACTGTTTTATATTTGACATGGAAGCCCATCTCTAGTTTCTCTACATGGAGGCTTTGTCAAATATGCTCAATCAAAACGGGTGTGTTTATCATTAAAGTAACTAAACTGGGTGTTTATAGTGAACCTAAACTCACACGCACACTACTAAGTGCTTGGACTTCAGTTGTGGACAGACTATGTTCAAAAGAGAGGGTCTTCAAACTCAAAATTCCTTTGAACGTTGAAAAGAGATATACTACTCGACCATGTTCTAATTGCTACATTGAAAAGTTCTTTTCCATTTGACACCGCGCAAAATTATACAAATTCTAGACTTGAAAAATATGCCTTGCGGGTTAAGCAGTATCAGGAATATAGTACAAATAATTCAAAGCTATACATAAAAACTAGTGCTGAACAAAAGGAAGTTTCAAAAATTGGTGAATATGGAAACGGTGGAAACTGTCAACTCCAATAGACAGTGACAGCGTGACCAAAAGAAAACCACCCATTTTAGTTTCATTGTAAACCACCTATTGTATTATCATTATAAACACCAATTTTCAATTACCTTAAATTTTATGTTTATGAAAATGATGGTCAGTTCATAAGTTGTGGACACTCTACGTTGGGATGAAGTTTTTGTTTCATTTGATTAAAATGTGAGACTTGAAAGAGATGTTCGTTTTTGGCGATATTTATGTCCGGCGCAATCAGCTCCATACCATTCATAAAAAGAATGGTGTCCGGCGCAATCTTTTTGGCGATTAAGAGTATCAGCAGCATGGACAATTTCTAATGAATTTTTTTAAACAGAGCTGCATGGCATTGAAACAAGAAAATTTGGAGAGAAGAAACTGAAAGAGGGAGGCATTTGGGTAAAGAATTTGGAACTAACTTTTAATGGGTGAAAGGGTCCTTTGGTTAATTGGGCTCGTTTGGCAGTGATTCTTGATAGGCCAGAATCACTTCTGGGGAGAACCACCTCTCATGTGATTCTCCATATAATCACTTTAAGCGATTTTAAGTGATTTTGAGCAGAAGCACCTCCCATGTGCGTCTCCATAAAATCACTTAAAACCGCTTAAAGTGATTATTTGGAGAAGTAATTCTCCATAGAAGTTCTTTTTGGCCTATCCAGAATCACTCCCTAACGAGCCTTTAATGTGGCTGATTATGATTAACTGATGTGGCCAAAAAAGAGTGTGCCTTAGTGAGCCATATATCTTTTTCCAAATGGTGAATGATAGAATGACACTGGATCCTGCCATAAATATTAGTGTATATTGGTTAAACTGAAGGCCTGTGTTATAATAATCTGTTTGATATGCATTCGTCTACTGTAAATAACACAATCTATAACAACTGTTGCACACAGAGACATCTTAGATTCAAATGGAAAATCCTCCAACCATTCTACTTGTTTTGGCTCTACTTTGTGTTTCAGTGGTTGCAGCAACAAGAACTAAGCTGCAGTCAATCAACAATCTGGATGTTGTTGGTATTTGCAAATCAATGGTGGAGACACAAGGCTATACTTGCCAAGAACATCAAGTAAGCATCAGAAAGTACTTCCTGCCTTATTTCTATCTTTTGCGGTTTATGTGACAGATATCAATGTTTTTGTCATTTGTCATGGAACTGTTGATGAGTTTCAGGTAACAACAGCAGATGGTTACATCCTTGGCTTGCAGAGAATTCCAAAGGGACGGTCTGGTAATGAGATACCAGACAGGCAGCCTGTTCTGTTACAACATGGGCTCTTACTCGTTTGCACCTAGGCGCCATGTATTTGAGCATGCATCATATACATGTGCAAGACATGAATGAACTAAAAAACAATTGTGTGTGGCAACAGGATGCTTCATCATGGCTACTCAATCCGCTGGATAAATCTTTGGCATTTATCTTGGCAGATAATGGTTTTGATGTATGGCTTGCCAACTCTCGCGGGACAAAATCTAGCCGCGGACACACATCACTTAGTCCTGATGATGATCCGGTTCTCTTTGCCTTTTTGAACGTTGATCACATCATGCCATCTGCATCATGGTCTCATACTAATGATATGCATTATGTTCTATGATATGTAGGCTTACTGGGACTGGTCATGGGATGAATTGGCATCTCATGATCTTCCGGCTTTCTTCCAGTATGTGAACAATCAAACAGGACAGAAATTACACTATGTTGGGCATTCCTTGGTAAATATTTGTACTTTTGTTCATAATTCAAGCTTTTGAATTTTGTTAGACATATAAAAGTAGATGACTGAGATTTGAAGTAATGAATTATAGGGAACTTTGACTGCCCTTGCCGCCTTCTCCCAAGAAAAGCTGTTAAACTTGCTAAGATCAGCTGCTTTGCTTAGTCCGGTGGCTTATCTGGGTCAGATGTCCTCACTGTTTGTAAGAATTCTAATGGACATATTTATAGCAGAGGTAACACAACTCAATGAACTTTTTTGTTTTCAAATATGGATTCTGATAGTTATTGTTACAAAAATAGGATAACTGACCAAAATGTTCTCTTGTTTTGTTCAACAGAAACTGAAATTGTTGGGTGTACAAGAATTCCCAAACGGGTGAGATAGCAACTCAAGCTGTATCATAAGTTTCAATTTGGTACAAAATTGTCTGATTTGTGACAAATGACATCAATAACAACTGTTTTTTCTTCTCAAAATTCCAACAGGCAGACACAACAACTTGTGGAGTTTATTTGCACACTACCAGGCATTGACTGCTCCAACTTATTGGCAACTATAACAGGTAGTAACAATATTAGAGTTAATGATTCACACTCTTAACTTGAATTTTTTAATTATTTTTAACTCCATTGCTGATTGACTTAGTTTCTTTTCCCTTGCAATCTATAGGCCCAAATTGCTGCCTCAGTTCTTCAAGCAAAGATGCTTTATTTAAGCATTTCCCCGAGCCCACTGCGACCAAGAACTTTATTCATCTGTCTCAGAGTAAGTCTCTTTCATTTCTAGGTTCAGTAATGGTGAGTTGTAAGTGTAACAAAAAGTAAAAACAATAGCATTTGAATTTTGAAGCTTTAAGTTCCCAGAAATCCTCTTTAAAATTTCAATGTTTGCTCCTGTCTATGGATTTTGAAAAGTGGTCAGAAGGGGAACGATCAAAATGTACGATTATGATCTTGAAGACACAAACATGGAACACTACAAGCAGCCTACTCCTCCTGCCGTACAACATGACAAACATTCCGAAAAATGTTCCTCTTTTCCTCAGCTACGGATTGAGAGATAAACTTTCTGATGCTAATGATGTGGGGCTTTTGCTTGACAACCTCAAAGATCATGACAAGGACAAGCTTGTGGTACAGTGCAGAGAGGAGTATGCTCATGTGGATTTTGTTATAAGTATGAATGCCAATCAAGTTGTGTATGATCCTCTAATGGCCTTCTTCAGGCTCCATTGAGACTTTAGCTACTTTTGTAATCTATTGCAAAAATAAGAGGGTTCCTAATGTTACAAGTTACAACCAAAGAATCCCAATTTGGCAAGAAAAAATTGAAAGGGGAGAAAGACATTTCAGTGAAGAATTTGGGGCTGACTTCAAACTCAAAGTGGGTAAAAGGGTCTTTTGACTAGTTAATGTGATTCATTATGATTAACAGATAGGGAGAGAACAATTCATGACGTGTACAAAATAAATTTGCTTCATTAGAAATACATAAAGGCACACAATCTGTCTAGTCTCTAGGTATGCATGCAATATAATGACACTGGACCTGCATTAAATATTGGCTCAAGTTATTGTATATACGCAACAATTTTTTAACAATGAACAATAACCCTTCAACCACTCTCAGGAAAAAGCTTTAAAAATTCTAAATTGTTGCACTCAGAGACAACCAAGCTCAAAATGTCTAACCCTTCAACCACTCTACTTCTTTTGGCTCTACTCTGTGTTTCAGCAGTTGCAGCAACAAGAACAAAGTTGAACTCAATCAACAATCTGGATGATGGGATTTGCAAGTCAATGGTGGAGACACAAGGCTATACTTGCCAAGAACGCGAAGTAATTATCCAGTGTCGAAATTGCCAGCCTTACTTCTATCTTTTTCAGTTTATATATGTCACTCTTTGACATTGACTGATTAAATTTTGTTTTCCTTTGTCATGGAACTTTTGATGGGTTTAAGGTAACAACAGCAGATGGGTACATCCTTGGCTTGCAGAGGATTCCGAATGGACGATCCGGTAATGAGACAGCAGACAGCTGCCTGTTCTGTTACAACATGGGGTCTTCCTGGTTCGCACCTAAGCACCATATGTTTGAGCGTGCATATGTACATACATATGTGCATGACATAAATAAACTAAAGAACAATTGTGTGGCACTGGCGACAGGATGCTTCATCATGGCTACTCAATCCGCCGGATCAAGCTTTGCCATTTATCTTGGCTGACAACGGTTTTGATGTATGGCTTGTCAACAGTCGTGGGACAAGCCCTAGCCGTGGACACACATCACTTAGTCCTAAAGATCCGGTTCACTTTGCTTCTGCAAATGTTCATCACATCATGCCATCTGCATTATACTCTTTTACTAACAATACCTATGATCTTCTATGATATTTAGGCTTACTGGGACTGGTCATGGGATGAATTGGTTGCGTATGATCTTCCTGCTTCATTCCAGTATGTGAACAATCAAACAGGACATAAATTACACTATGTGGGGCATTCCTTGGTAAATATTTGTACTTTTTTGGTTTGTTCATATTTCAAGTTTTTAAGTTCTTTTGTACATAAAAATTAGATGACTGAGACTTGAAGTATGGAATTATAGGGAACTTTGACTGCCCTTGCCGCCTTCTCCGAAGAAAAGCTGTTAAACTTGCTAAGATCAGCTGCTTTGCTTAGCCCTGTAGCTTATCTGGCTCACATTTCCTCACTGATTTTAACACCTGCTGTTGACATATTTGCTGCAGAAGTAGCACAACTCAATGAACTATTTTGTTTTCAAATATGGATTCTGAAATTCATTATTATAAACGTAGCATAACTGACCAAAATGTTCTCTTGTTTTATTTAACAGAAACTGAAATTGTTGGGCTGGCTGGAATTTCCGAATGGGTGAGATAGAAACTTTTGCTTCATTAGTCACATGCAGATAATATCATAAACTTAACTCAACTTGGTACAAATTTTTAGATATTTTGTTCTTCTCAAAATCCCAACAGGCAGATCCAACAACTTGTGGAGTTTATCTGCACAACACGGGGCATTGACTGCTCGAACCTCCTGGCAGCTATAGGAGGTAGTAACAATGTTAGGCTTGCTCATTCACACTTTTATTTGATTGAATTGATTTTTTGTTTTTTGTTTTTGCAATCTCCAGGCCCAAATTGCTGCCTCAATTCTTCCAGCATAGATGCTTTAGTTGAACATGATCCACAGCCAACTGCGACGAAAAACCTTATACATCTATCTCAGAGTAAGTCTCTTTCATTTCCAGGTTCAGCAATAGAAACTGTAGTATCTGTTTTGAAAGTTTCAGCTCTCAAAAATCCTAACTAATTAAATTAAGTTCTTACAAAATTTCAATTTTTGCTCCTTGTTTTTTGATTTTGGAAAGTTGTCAGAAAGGGAACCGTAGAAATGTATGATTATGGTCTTGAAGACACGAACATAAAACACTACAAGAAACCCACTCCTCCAGTGTACAACATGGCAAACATTCCGAAAGACGTTCCACTTTTCTTCGGCTATGGAGGGAGAGATTCAATTGCTGACGTTAGCGATGTGGGGATTTTGCTTGACAAGCTCAGAGATCATGACAGGGACAAGCTTGTGGTAGAATACAGAGAGGAGTATGCTCATGTGGATTTTATAATGAGTGTGAATGCCAACCAAGTTGTGTATGGTCCTCTACTGGCCTTCTTCAGGCTCCATTGAGAGTTTAGTTACTTTCGCAATCTATAACATATTGCCTTCTGTAGGGTTTTGTTCACCATTAATAATGAGATTTAAGACTATGTCTACAAGGCTTGTGGTAGGTAGGCAGGTTGAACATGGTTTTCAAATGCTGCATTAGGTGCCCTTAATTAGAGGCTAATTATGTGATTAACAAAAACAAATTAATCACAGAACAGAATATTACAGATTGGTTGCATCTGGATGAGCATGTACTTTAATGTTAGGTTTCACATTCTACCATATAATTATGAGAAGGCAATGAACAACTAGGCAGCTTCAACTGTTATTATAATTAGCTCACTGAGAGGATCAAACAAGCTCTCTTTTCCACCAAGATCATTACAAGACAGAAGACTCAACAATAACTCAGTAACCTTGCCAACTCTGTCTTCTCAAATATGGATGTTTGGTCTGAGAGCAAAATGATTCTGAGCCGCAGCATGAACTGCTGAAAAAGGATTGACATCATTGTTTCTTGTTCGATGGCCCTTTGCGCTTTTCAAAGGAAAGAAAAGCTCTTCGCAGAGAACAGCACAAGGCGGTGAAGCTCTAACCTTAACTTGCCGATTAAGGTTCCTATCAGCTGAGCACCCCAACATGTTCTTCAGCTTGCTAACCAAATTGATGAGCTTCTCCATCCTCCTAAGCTTCTTTGCTGTGCTTCTCATAACGTACCTCACTCTCCTAAGTTGGCAATGGTGGGTTTTCGGGGCTTGCTCAGCTTATACATATATATAGTTAGGAGTTGAAAGTGTGCTCTGGCATGTCACACGGAAATTGTGTAAGCTACTCTACAAGAGCAAGAGTTTGTAGTTTTCATGAAACTTGCTTTTCTTCTGTTATTTCATTAATGAATGAGAACATTTTCATGGCCCATAGGCCTTGTCTTTTTCTTGCTTTTATAACGCTCTTGCAGCCTTAGCTTGTGGATGTTACGTTCAGTTTGTTAGAGAGAGAGAGAGAGAGAGAGAGAGAGAGTGGAGATTTTTGGTTTATCAGTTATAATTTTTTTATTTGGAGAGATATTTGAAACCAAAATATTTTTTCAATAGGTAATAGTTTTTTATTTTTACATTTTTGAGATTTTATAAGACATTGGCATGCACAAGGTAATTTCATAATAAAAAATAATTAGGGCTAAACCCTATTATTTTATTATAAAAATTTGATAAAAAAATGTTTATTGCTTTATGGTCAAGCTAACAGAAACCCCATTGGTCCAATCCGTGATGAACAAATAATAAAGAACAAAAAACACCAATAAATTTCATGAGAAACCATGGCCAAATGACGTGTAAATCTGCCATTGGTCCACACACGTAGCTCGCCCACAGCCCAAAACCCAGTAAAGGCCCGCTGTGTCTTCTATGCCTCGAGAGGTTTCTGAACTGATCCGTAGAACAAATCTCAGAGAGAGAGAGAGAGAGAGAATGAGAATGAGAGGTAATCAATTTCGAGCTGTGTCAATCATCTTCTTATTTTGCTTTGTCTTCAGTGTCTGTGATGCACTGTACGGACCATCATCGCCAGTTCTTCAGCTAACTCCTTCCAACTTCAAGTCCAAGGTAAATTTTGAATCTTTAGCAGTAACTGTAGCGTATCCTTTTCCAGTTCCTCAATCTTTTGCATAATTGATTGGAATTCGTCACCATTTTGATCGAAAGAAGCACCTGGGCACTGATTGGTTTTCATTTCAGAAGTAATTCTATTTCTGTTGAAAGCAAGCATGCCCCTTGGGTTTTGGCCCTCGAAAAGCAAAGCAAAGTTCTTTCTTTTATTGGTTTTAGACTTTTAGTTCTTACTGAGCTTATTAATTTAGTGGGATTTAGTCATGTTTGCTACTTGACTGTTCGGGGATTAGATCTGATTCATAGCTTCTTGGGGATTTTTGGTTTAGAAAAGCAAGCCAATCTTGCACTGAGTGGAACTTATGTAATGCATTTGCTTAGTTAAATGCACTTTCTCTTTTTGGTTTTGTTTATGTTTTCTTTTCTCATTTGATATATGATCAACAAGTTCTGATTCTTATTGGGTTAATTATGGATTCCTAGGATAGTATATTACTTACAAATGTTTTTAATGTGATTATTATTTTCGTTTGCGATCATCTTACGTGATCAATAAGACATTGGATCAGACCACAATCTGACTAGTATTGCCTCGAACTGAATCCTTTGCAATGGTGGCAGGTTCTGGACTCGAACAGAGTTGTTCTGGTTGAATTCTTTGCACCATGGTGCGGACATTGTCAAGCTCTAACACCTATATGGGAGAAGGCGGCTACTGTCTTAAAGGGTGTGGCTACCGTGGCAGCTCTTGATGCTGATGCGCACAAGTCCCTTGCTCAGGTTTCCTATAGTTACTCTTGCAATTACCAATTTTGACTTCTAAGTTTGAAGATGCAATAGTAGATTACCAACATCCCTCTGCCTTCAAATAACTTAATCGAACCATTTGACTCATATATTAGGTTGCATGAAAATTCATTCCCATTCTGTAATTAATTTTGCAGTATATGGAATATGGTTTGTATTTTCCTAATGTTTACTAATACGTTAATTTTGTGTTGGGGTGTTGATGTGTTTGATTGCTCTATAGGAATATGGGATTAGAGGATTTCCAACAATAAAGGTGTTTGTACCTGGGAAACCTCCAGTTGACTATCAGGGAGCAAGGGATGTGAAACCCATTGCAGAATTTGCACTCCAACAGGTTTGTAATCTCTTGTTCAAAATTATTTCTTTTTTCGTTGTTAGTTTATTCTTTTGTTTGTAATAGAGATAGTCTTTTGTATTCATGTCTGCTCCACTATGTCTTATCTTGCTTTAGCACTTATTCATGGGATGGATAGACCGTGATAATCATTTGTCTCACTTGGTCATATAATCCTCTTGCATAAAATGCATTGAAGTATTAGTTATGTGACCATTCCATTGTCTTTCACAGATAAAGGTGTTGTTGAAGGACCGTTTAAGTGGAAAAGCAACAGGAGGACCAAGTGAAAAATCTGAACCTAATGCTTCAGTAGAATTAAATTCCCAGAATTTTGATGAATTGGTGGTTAAAAGTAAAGAACTCTGGATTGTGGAGTTCTTTGCACCTTGGTAAGTGCTTTTAATTGGTATGATGATCTTATAAGCTATTTTCAGATAATAATCTCTCAGTCTACTATATGAACTTAAAGTGCACCTGCTTGTAGCAAATTATCGACTTTCTTTCAATTTCCTTTTTTTTAAAGGTGTGGGCACTGCAAAAAATTGGCACCTGAGTGGAAGAAGGCCGCCAAGAACTTGCAGGGGAAGGTGAAGTTGGGACACGTTGACTGTGATGTAGAGAAGGTAAGTTTGGCTTCAGGCTTTTCTTTTTGGGCAACCAGGCTGCGGGATGGTAGTATGTACTGGATTTACATGTTTTTATTTCTTGTACTATATGGTTCTAATGAGGTGGCATTACCAGTCTCTTATGAGCAGGTTCAATGTTCAAGGATTCCCAACCATATTGATATTTGGAGCTGACAAAGATACCCCACTCCCCTATGAGGGTGCAAGGACTGCTAAAGCCATTGAATCGTTTGCTCTTGAACAATTGGAAACAAATGTTGCACCTGCTGAAGTGACTGAGTTAACTGGCCCTGTAAGCTCTTAGCTTCCTTCCAATAATTAAGCTGTGTGAAATTGTAAGTAACCTGGGGACTAAAGCTTTACTATAATCTTCCCTTGTAGGATGTCATGGAAGAGAAATGTGGTTCTGCTGCCATCTGTTTTGTCGCTTTCCTACCTGATATCTTGGATTCCAAGGCAGAAGGGAGGAACAAATACATTCAGCAGTTATTATCTGTTGCAGAGAAGTTCAAAAGGAGTCCCTATAGGCAAGTTTTTGGGAGTTCTCTTACCATTCATCTCTCTCTCTCTCTCTCTCTCTCTGGAATAATGCATAAATCATCCCCAATCAAACCTCTCTTGCTTGAGAAGCTGAATATATAGTTACTGACCATGAACATTCATGTATGTTGCAGCTATGTCTGGGCAGCTGCCGGTAAGCAGCCAGACCTCGAAAATCGTGTAGGTGTCGGTGGTTATGGATATCCAGCATTGGTGGCCTTAAATGTGAAAAAAGGTGCTTATGCACCACTTAAGAGTGCATTCGAGCTTGATCAGATTATGTAAGTTTTCTACCTCCACCTCATCTTGAACTGCTCTCGAGCCTTGTGATGAATAAAACAAATTAATATAACTCTACTTCGTTTTCTCAGAGAATTTGTTAAGGAAGCTGGACGTGGAGGAAAGGGAAACTTGCCTCTGGACGGCACCCCCAACATTTCAAAGATTGAACCCTGGGATGGTAAAGATGGACAGATAATTGAAGAGGATGAGTTCTCCCTCGAAGAACTTATGGGCGGAGGAGATGATACTACGAGCAAAGATGAGTTGTGATAAATTAAAAGCAATTATATTAGAGAGAAGAAATCTGTATCAGGCTAAGATTGATTTTGGAGGACGCTACGAGTTAAGTGTTGCTGGTCATTCTAGTGTTTCTGTATTTAAATGACGTTGTCAACAGTGCTCAAGAGCTTTCTTATGAGGAAGGCCTTTATTTTGTTCTGTTCTTAGCTAACTTATCAATATAGTGCAAGTGTGATGCCCTTTAAAGGGTTCATTGTTGAGGAACGTCAATTCATAGCAGCAAGGAAATGACCGCTTTGGTTTTTCGGAGTTTGGCTTCTTTGCTTGCTCTGGACTGGATTAAAAAACTTTCTTATGCATGGATTTTTGTGTGCTTGTATTTAACCCAGTAACTCGTCATATCTTACAACGGGACAAGGGTTTCTGAAAACGCCCAGATATTAAATCAGCACAGCCATTTTTTAATAAATAAAAAAGCTAATACTTTCTATTCCTTTTTATTTTTTTGGAAGAAGAAAAATTGATCCATTTGCTTATAACCCCTCATATCGGATCCACAGTAGATAAAAAGTGAATCACCTATACATGCTGTAGCTTCTAAGTACATCCCCTTCTACCTATTTCAGAATTTCTCCTTTTGACGTCAAAGTAAAATCAAAACGGCCATTCCTTGGTTGAAATTCTTGGAAAGTTGAATGGGCCTTTTAAAAGTCGCCATTTATCCTCCCTAAGCATTCTCTTCTCAAAGTTGAATCTTGAAATATGGCCTTGATAAAATCTACCACCTGCAAAAATGAAGAGCTTGTGAAACCAATGAATAACGAACAGCACAGAAAGCCGAACAAAACACGCGCTCTAGTGAAATCATACCTCCGACGTCGTAAAACCACAACTGTGCAATTGTCCACTTTCCCAGGCTGTTGTAATGGATTTTAGAGGCATGTCTAATAAATCTGAAAAAGAAACACAAAGAAAAAGGGCATTGGATCTCCGTTTGCAAGACACCTAATAGATCTCTACTGAATCAATAAATTTTCAGCATTAGACAGAAAACTTGCCTGCCAGTTTACGAATTTTACGTAATGAGGGTACAAGATCATCAAGAGTGCAAGTGATGCCCTCTTGTGACTTCACTACTTGGAGAGCAGCCAGGCCGTCCAGCAAAGAAGTTAGGCTTTCCAGCATCACATGAATCAGTCTTTGAAGCTAGGAGCATAAATACAATGATTTAGTTAGCTGCAGACATATATACAGCATCAAAAGTACAAGAACCAGATCTATGACTGATTGATTATACCTCTAATGTTTCATCTGCTGCCATATCATCCAAAAGAAGTATGTCCTTTGCGACTCTAGAAAAAACCGACTCTAGGACCATACACATGCTTCTCTTGTAAGTTGAAGCCAACAAGAGTGGCTCCCATATCATACGCACCTTCTCCAGAATGAATAC